GTGCCATATTATTATTATTATTATTATTATTATTATTATTATTATTATTATTATTATTATTATTATTATTATTATTATTATTATTATTATTAACAAAACAATTGTATCACAGCGGCCAGTTGTTTCGGCGGATTTGGCATTATTAGTATTAATAATTATTATTAATTATTATTATTAATTTGGCATTATTATTATTATTAAAGTTTAATAGTCTTATATTCAGAGTTTAAATAGAATTATGGATACCACAGGTTCTCCTCACAATAAGCAAGCTTATACAGGGAATACCATAGAAGTCTATGCAAGCACGAATTCATTTTTTTTCATAACTGATTTCATTGGCTTTAGATGTAACATCAATGCATAAATTGAACATCAAAAATAATATGCTCCAAAGAAAACTTTCATTTCACATCTCATCCATGGTTCACACATTCCACTGCTAATTTAAGTGTACATTACACTTAAAAGTATATAGTAGAGGTACAGTGTTTAAAAAAATCAGATTAGGAATAGGTCACAGTGGAGAAAATCCATATACTGTATCTGGTCACTAGGCATCAAAAATAACTTGATAATAATCATCAATCAACACTGTGATGCACCTGCATGAGTGAACTATTCTGTAGTTCAAGAAAATTTTCCAGATAGGTAACCATGTGTAGTCAGTTGAAAAGAAGAAATTGAAACGTGACTACCTGTGAATCAGGCAGTGTGTCCAAGGAATGTGTGGTTAAATTCCATTTTGCATTTTAGGAATAGATGGAAAGAAGCATAGTAAGTGAGTTGGCATCTCAGCAATGTTCAGTGGTACAAAATGCAATGTATTCTAAGAATTCAAATATAATTATTTCAATGTTGTTGTTGTTGTTTTGGTACGTAATTATCAGTGCTGTCAATATTGGCCCAAATTCATTCTTTTTTATTTTTATATTTAGGTTAGAATTTTTGCCTGCTCGAGTTAAGTGCTAGTGAGGAATCTTAGTATGCCATTCCTGGATACACGAAGAATAATATTTTTGCCTAGAAGCAGGAAATTCCCCAGAGGGGGAATAAAATCTAAACAAATAGTCAAACGAACAGCTGAAATACCCACTTACCACCCTTCTCCATTATGCTGCTAAAGAAGTAGGCAATCTACCCTACTCTGATTTAGAGACATCCAAATAATCAACATCCACTACATTAAATTGTACCTGTTAAATGATAGAAGACAAAACATTATCATATGAATACACAAAATCTTTAAATGTACATTCAATGTTTTGGGAATCATCAATTGCTTCTGTTTGTTCCATGTGGCAGTGATGTATATTGTCCTAATGTTTCATTGACAAAATCTAGTGATAGATGTGTGTGTTTTGTGTTGTTCTCCATACCCATGTGCTTAGATACAAAGCTAAATAAAAAAAAAAAATCTTAACCGCATGTTGCAAATAACAAATCCTAATTTTTCCCCCCAATTATATGCAGCTCCTCCAAAGTATGATAAGATATGGCCGAATATATCTTCCCTTGGGGTTTCTAACCCAAATCAAGGTAGGAGTAAGTAAAATTCCTACTGGTCTATTATGACTTCAACTGCTTTTCATAGAATCAGCAACCTAGGGGGGAAAAAAATAAGAATAAGAAGAAAATATACCATCCAAAACAAGCTGCTGAGGATTATTATGCTCATAAAAGTGAATCGTACATGAAAAAGGCTTTTTATAATGTGTACAGATCTTCCTCATGGAAGTTATAAGCACTATTATAGCTTTAATTGAATATGGGTCCCCTCAGAAGAGGGGAATTGTATAGATATCAGGGTTTTTGCATGAAAAATAGGTTTTGAGGCTTCTTGGGTGCCAGAGATAATCTTTGTCTCCATCCGATCATTTTAATGTCTCTCTCTCTCTTCTGCTTTGTTTACTTAATTGAAATGAATGTTATTTCAGTTGATATTCGGAGCTGAGATTGCAGTGAGACCAACTTGTGGAAGTTACAGCAAAAATCATATTCTCAGGAAATTTATTTGAGCAATTTCAGCATTTTCAAAAATATATATATAAATGGGCTTTTCTCTTTCTTCCAAGTTTTTATTTTCCCTCCCCACAAGGCTAAAGTCACATTGTAGGTGACTTCCTGTGTATATGTGTGTGTATGAGTGTGCTTGCATACTGAAAGCATCACGTTCCCACTATTACAGTAATAGATTGAAGTTTATTTGTATGCCGCCCTTTTCCCTGAGGGGACTCAGGGCGGCTCACAATCCAAAAGGGAAGGGGGGAATAATAGTTCTCTCCGGAATCCCTAGTGCATTGGTTCCACATCTGAATTCCAACAACATTCACGCATAAAGAATTTACTGGCGGGTTGGTGTGATGATTATTTCAGGAGGAAAAATGATGTGGGTTTAAAAGAGAGGCTGGGGTTGAGAGAAGAATAAAAGAGGTAGCAAGAAATGTCAGGATTTTAAAAGTTGGGTTCTGTAGAGCTTTTGCCCAGAAAAATGCATTTAGTCAGGTGGAAGTCTGTTCAGTACTTCGCATGGAATTATTTTGCTCCTTAAAACAAATGGTGTTGGTGTACAGCTTGCCATCGTTATACACAGGATGTTCCTTTTAAACTCTTAATGAATACAGATGGAGGAGGAAATGAGCAGAAGAAGATCCAGGAAATAGCTTCTAAGCTAAACAAAATGTATTAGCAATTTGTTGGAGAGCTAGATTGGAAAAACTGCTGTCTTAGTCCTTGATCATAGGAAAGAAATTGAGACTGTCCTAAATACATAAATTACTCGCAACTAGAATTGTTTTAAACATGGGTTCTATATTATATTTCACCGTTTCTTTCCATGCCTCTTGGAGAAATGCTGTCGGGTATGTCCCAACTTGGTCATTTAGAAAGAAAGAGCCTTCGATTGCATTCGTAGTGAAAGGAATACTTTTACCAAAGTATTGGTTACAAGATAGAAAAAGGCAGATCTGAGGTTTTAGCATGAAAGCTGCCTACTTACCTTTCCATTTCCCAGGTCCCCACCTCCTAACTATCTCCGTTGTCTCCAGTGGGATTCAAACAAATTGTTTTGGTAACAGCTTCGAGGTTTGGCTGCCTCGGTGATGGTCCACATGCTATACCAGAGCTGGGTTCCTACCAGTTTGCACCTATTTGGTAGAACCGGTTCGTCAAATCTACCGAACCGGTTAGAAGAGGTTCCACCAGTGGACCCGGAAAGCAGGCCACACCTACAGAAGAGGTCCCAAAAAATTTTGAACCCCCCCCCTGCCACACACAGAGAGAGAGAGAGNAAACTGGTAGCAAAAGTAAGAGGATTTCATGTCTGCATTAGAAGTACAAGTAAAGATATAATGTACAGAAATAATGTGTTGCTATCATCGGAAGAAAAGGTGGCATGGTTGAGATCACGTTTTTGGATTCCACTCCAATTTAGCTGTCCTCGGAAATAGGCCCGTCTGATGTGTATACCAATAGCACAAAATAACTACTTGGAAACATCTAAGTATCCACGTGAGACATCCCACTACAGATGGCTGATAAGAAAATGTCTCTGCCCAACTGACTTGGAGCAGAGCATTATGTGCCGTGGTGAGGTTAATCCTGAGCTATCATTGTTAATGATTCCCGTTTCAAATCCTGTGCCTACCTTCAAAGAGATTGGATTGTGGATTGCACTGGTGGTTGAAAATGTTCCCACTTGATTTTGAATGTCCGAAACACTTGAGCAATGTTCTTGAACAGAAATAATGGGCTTCACCAGCAAGCAACTGTGCTTCTATAATGTTCACTCAGAACCGAGTGGGTGTTTCTCGTAACATGTTGCTGAATAAATGCCCTGCGTTCCCTATATGGAAATGAAACCCAGTCCTTAATTTTTCATAAAGCAGAACTTCAACAAAACACTCTTGTGTCAATGGAAAATATCTTCTGATTTCTATCTCAAATGTGCTTTTTCAAAAGGCAACTGGATTTTTTTTTTTTTTTCCTGATGTAGCTCCTTGGATGAGAAGTGAAACGTCTCATGAAAAGGTGAAAAAGCACCTTAGGACAACTATGGTCTGGATCCCCATAGATTTCTGATTTCTACTTCAGTCTTTCCCCCTCAAGGATAGTCTTGGTAGTGAAGTTGGATGGTATTGAAGGAAGATTCAGAGAAAGTTTTAGGGAAGAAAGAAGAGGGCGGGTAAAATGATTTTATTGTTCTTTTGAATCCTTGCATTGATCAATATTAATCCCACATTCATTGGGGGATTCAT